CCCTCGTGAGTGCCCCTTGCACCCCCTCGTGGGTGCCCCTCGCACCCCCTCGTGAGTGCCTCTTGCACCCCCTCGTGGGTGCCCCTCGCACCCCCTCGTGGGTGCCCCTTGCACCCCCTCGTGAGTGCCCCTTGCACCCCCTCGTGGGTGCCCCTCGCACCCCCTCGTGAGTGCCCCTTGCACCCCCTCGTGAGTGCCCCTCGCACCCCCTCGTGGGTGCCCCTCGCACCCCCTCGTGAGTGCCCCTTGAACCCCCTCGTGAGTGCCTCTTGCACCCCCTCGTGAGTGTCCCTTGCACCCCCTCGTGGGTGCCCCTCGCACCCCCTCGTGAGTGCCCCTTGCACCCCCTCGTGGGTGCCCCTCGCACCCCCTCGTGAGTGCCTCTTGCACCCCCTCGTTAGTGCCCCTCGCACCCCCTCGTGGGTGCCCCTCACACCCCCTCGTGAGTGCCCCTTGCACCCCTTCATGAGTGCCCCTTGCACCCCCTCGTGGGTGCCCCTCGCACCCCCTCGTGAGTGCCCCTTGCACCCCCTCGTGAGTGCCCCTTGCAACCCCTCGTGGGTGCCCCCCCGCACCCCCTCGTGAGTGCCCCTTGCACCCCCTCGTGAGTGCCCCTCGCAACCCCCTCCAACCCCCCCCCCGCCCCCCCCCCCCCCCCCCCCCCTTCTCCTCCACCCCCCTGCTGTGGGTGCAGCAGTGGGGGGGGGGGTATGGAGGTGGCGGGATCTTGGTGGGTAAGGGGGTGGCAGGAATGGATCTGCAGCACCCCCCCCCCCCTCCCCGCCCCCCCCCCCCCCCCTTCTCCTCCATTCCCCTGCTGCGAGTGCAGCAGTGGGGGGGAGGGGATCTGCAGCACCAGCCCCCCCCCCCCCCCCCCCCCCCCCCCCCCCGCCCTCCCTTCTCCTCCATCCTTCTGCTGCGGGTGCAGCAGTGGGGGGGAAGGGGCTCTGCAGCACCAGCCCCCCCGCCCCCCCCCTTCTCCTCCATCCCCCTGCTGCGGGTGCAGCAGTGGGGGGGGGGGGGGGTATGGGGGTGGCGGGATCTTGGGGGGTATGGGGTGGTGGGATCTTGGAGGGTATGGGGGTGGCGGGTATGAGGAGCCAGCAGCCGCCCCTCCTCCTCTCTCTCTCACGGCCGCGCGTGCCACTGTGGGGGGAGGGTGAGGCGGTGGCTTGTTGACCTTTTTGCTCATCTGCCGTAGCCTTGATTTGCTTGTACTCGCACCTATATATCTTATGTAACCTCTTGGACTGGCCTTGTGGCCGCTTGCTAGTGCTCAGAGTGCGTGGTGATCTTGAGATCCACCCTGAGCTTGCTTTGCTTTGTTTCTTCTCCTGACTGGTCTTGTGACCGCTTTGTTGTGCTTGCTATCCCCCACTTCGCCTATGGGGGTGTGTCAAATTATAACTTTACTGTTATCTAGGCTGTAGTGGGTTTAGCCTTAGGGGGTACAGTAAATTGCTCGACACTTCATTGTATCCCCCCTCCTTGTAAACCCAACTCATTCCTTCCTACTAAGCTACCTATCTCGACACTCCGGTGCGCCATCACCAGATGGTCTTCGCTCCCGTCAAGGGCATTGCTGATGCTGCACATGAGGAAGGCTTTCTTAATCAGGTCGGCGGGCATGACCTTCCACGCCCGTGAAACCCACTTGAGCACCACCGCCGGGGGTGGTTTCTTGATGTTCCCTGCACCACATGAAAGGGAGTGGGGAACACATTAGTCCACAAGCACGCAGACAAGCACATGAAGGGGAGACGGGAGGACATGTCGTCGCTCACCTGCAGGTGTCAGAATGTTCATGCCGTCCGCCTCAAACCAGGACTGGTACTGCTGGCGAACACTCGCTTTGAAGCTCTTGTTCACCGACACATCGAGCGGCTGCACGTCTGCCGTGTATCCCGCCGGGATGACCGCCGGCACGATGTTGAGAGCCGCAAATCTTGCCTTGACTTCCTTGGTAAGGTGACCACGGTAGGAGTCGTGTACTAGCATGGCGCTCCGACTCTGCATGCTAAATTTTGGTTTCAAGAACGGCACCACGCCCTCATCGAGCCACTGGATGACGCCCGTGGCCTCCATCCACCCGTTCGCTTGGCAAGCCGACCACGACATCTGCACACAAGGAAGCGGTGGTTAATCCTTTTTTGTTTTGAACGTCCAAAACACGCACAATAACATGTGCTTACCGTTCGGGAAGTCACCCTTTGGCAGTGTCTTGCGCTTCAAAAACACCCACGGCTTCAACTTCTCGTCCGTCGCCGTGCACGCCAGCATGACGGTGACTCTTTCTTTCTGGTAGCCACCACTGCGGATGGGCACCGACTTCACGCCCGTCTGCTCCACGGTGGTAGTGGCTGGCATCTCCAACCAAAGAGGCGTGTGGTCGGCATTGATTATGTATCGATTGTCGATCGCGTACTCGTTGCGTGCGTCGCGGACGAACTGCCAAAATTCTTTGCACTGCGTCGCCACGTCTGCGCACGGGGAGGGAAGGACAGATAGGAAGAAGGATGAGTACCGCTACAAGAAAAAGATATTCACACGGGAGCAACAACTCTTAAACCATGCGAATTCGCGCGAGGTAAGCGAGAAACGAGGCACATACGCTCCTGTGTTTTCTGCGCCACCTTAGTTTTCATGCGCACGCTGAGGTTCCACCGTTTGCGGAACCGCTCCGACCACCGCTGAATCCCTTTCCATTTGACTTCCGGGAACAGCACCTTCATCACCTCGCGTGACCAATCTTGGAGCCGGCCGACTGAAACTGCAACACCGCGGCGTCGCAAGTTGAGGAGTTGAGCGTACACCTTCAACTCCATGGGTCTGTACCAAGAAGACCTCTCGCGCCGATGAAGTCGACACCTTGCAGCGTGTGAAGCCTTGATCTCCTCCGCTTGGGTTTTCCACTCTGTCAGGCATTTGCGGTGTATGCCAGACTCCCACGCGACCTCGCTTATCGATGCCGCCAGCTCCAGCCGCACGATCCACCTGAGTTTCTCCTGGGCGGTGTAGGAGTGTCGTTCATGTTGAGACGGCTTGTGCATGGGAGAGGGGGGGCGGGCATCTCGGTTCTCGGAGGAGGGGTGGGGGCGTTTTTTGTTAATCGGCGGATACGTCGGTATCGGCATCTTCTCGCGTGGTGCGTCGCGCCACCAAGACTCCACACCGTCGTCGTCCTCGGCCGTTGCACCACGATATGGGACGTCCTCCTCGGCGCCCACTTCACCGTCGCCTCCACCAACGCCGTCGCCGCTGCTTTGTTTATCGGTGGCCACTTCATCGTCGGCGCCCACAGCCGACTCGTCCCACGTGCAGGCTTCGGGCTGTCCCCACCGTAGTGCAGGCGGCGGAGCCTGGATGAACACATCGGGGGCCTTGGATGTGTCCGCTTCTGACAGCCACTCGTCGAAAGTGGCTGGTAAATACAGCTGGAGCACGGGCCGTTGGTGAGCATTGGTACCGATACCGATATCAGGCGGATTCGGAGGAGCGGGAGGAGCGGGAGGAGCAGGAGGAGCAGGAGGTGCAGGAGGAGCAGGGGGTGCAGGGGGTTCAGGTGGCACTGGAGGCGCTGGTGGCTCACGGGTATATCACCCGTAATCGATAAGTCGCCACGGGCGAGCTAGTTTTTTCTTGAAGAGGAAGTGCGTCCCGCTGAATTCTGTCAGAATCCCAACCACTAGACCATTGGGATAAAAGGGCTTGTTAAGTAGCAGGTCAGTGCGCCCATAACCCCCTAGGACAACATGCGTGTAACCCTTCCCTAGGATCAATCGGGGATCTCCAGTGGACCTCTGACACCCCCCCGCACTGGGATGCCCGAGGTGCACACACTGGGATTCGAACCTGAGACCTTCGCTCTGATACCATGCATCCCAACCACTAGACCATTGGGATAAAAGGGCTTGTTAAGTAGCGGGTCAGTGCGCCCATAACCCTTCAGGACAACGTGCCTGTAACCCTTAGGATCAATCGGGGATCTCCAGTGGACCTCTGACAAATTCCGCCATGGCTTCGCCAGCCAGGCGGCCTAGACTGGAATGTGAATGAAAAGAAAATGAGTAAGAGGGTGCACAAATGGGCAACGAAGGGGACCCCGTGGGGTTGGCGCATCGAGGTCCTCGTCAATGACAGGCAGGAAACCCCCGCCTACCCCCGTAAAGGACCCTGCGTGGCAGCATAAACGTAGTGCTGGCAGGGAATCTTCCTCACCCTTCGAGAGGGTTCGGAAGAAATGCACATGCCACGCAGCGCATGCGGATGTGATTGGGCCGCACGGCAACATCCCCGTCACTACTGTCACGTTCGATGGTTCTAGATAAAACAGTGCGGTGGGAAACCGAACCGCTGCTGTTTTAGCCTGAAAACCATGCACGATCCCACGTGTTGCATGGTCGGTTGAATTCGCCTTATTGCGGGCTTCAATTTGGTATGTTTAAAAGTGGATATAATTCTTTTCCTATTACAGGCACATGAGCTTATAAAAATGACTCAACTAGAAGCGCACCCCCCTAAAAAACACTGTTTTATTATAAGCACACCTGCGCTTCTATCCGGGGTAATACGGTAGCAATGAGGCTGTTGCCTGCAGCCGATACGGTACTATGATCGCACACAGCAATGTAAAAATGCCTTCTTCTCCCCACACAACACCTCTCTTCAAATGGCAAGGACTACACCAGCAGCAGCAGTAACACTGTAGCACACGGTGAAGCTCATCAAAGGTGAAGTGGCTGTTAGTGACGGCTGGCACAGTAAGGGAGCACCAGGAATGAGGGTGCACTGCACTCCCTGACTACACTAGGGCACCCTCGCCATCTACATGATACACCTCGTGGTGCAGGGTGCACTCTGCAACTACACCAGGCTGCAGAGTTAGCATGCCCCCCCTAACTGCACCTGGTATTGGTGAAGGGTGCACTGCGTATATGCACCCATCTGGTGCAGGGTGCACTGTGTAATTACATCCATTTGATGCAGGGTGCACTGCGCATCTACACCACAGGGTGCAGCACGACGCGGTGGAGCGTATCGAGGGTGAAGTGGTTGTCGGTGAAGTGGCGACTCGCAAAGAAAGAGCTCAGATCCACAATGCCATACTCACGAGCCTGGGGAAACGGAGGGGAGGGAGTGGAACAGGGGGGGGGGGTGCAGCGTATCGAGGGTGAAATGGTTGTCTGTGAAGTGACGGCTGGCAAAGAGGAGCTCAGATCCACAATACCATACTCACGAGCCTGGAAGGAGGGGAAGGGGGGGGGGAAGGATGGAGGGAAACAAAGGGAACAGGGGAGGGGGTGCAGCGTATCGAGGGGGAAGTGGTTGTCAGCTCAGATCCACTATGCCGTTTCCACGCGCCTGAGTCAAATGAAAACCGTCTCACCTTGGCTTCCAGCTCATCCACTCGCATCTCAACCACCTCCTCCCCCTCACCTGCTGCCCCTCCCCTGCGCCTGCTGGGCTGTGCCCCTAGGCGCAGCAACGGCAGCTACTGCAGAGATATGAGTCATTGAAAAACCGTCTCACCTTGGCTTCCAGCTCATCCACTCGCATCTCAACCACCCCCATTCCCTGAGCCTCAGCCCAGATCCCTGCCACTCGCTTTCTCATCTCACCTCACACCCATCTCACCTTGGCTTCCAGCTCATCCACTCGCATCTCCACCACCTCCTCCCCCTCACCGCCTGCTGCCCCTCCCCCTCGCCGGCTAGGCTGGGTCCACCCCAGGTCCCGCAGCCTCAGCGCCTCCCTCAGCTGCTGCCTCAGCAGGTGCAGCAGCAGCTGGTGCAGGTCCCGGCGGTGCGACATGTAGCGACTGAAAGACTGGAAAGGATAGGGAGGGTAACAGAGGGGTACAGAGGGATAGGAGGGGGAGAGGTGTGTGTAGGCATCACTGGCAGCTGCTGCCACAACTGCTGCCTCAGCAGGTGCAGCAGCAGCTGGTGCAGGTCCCGGCGGTGTGACACGTAGCGACTGAAGGACTGGGGGTTGGGAGAAGGAGATAGGGAAGAGGGGAGAGGGAAAATCGGAGAGGTGGGTGGGATGGATAGAGAGGAAGTTGTTGCTGCCTCAGCAGGTGCAGCATCAGCTGGTGCAGGTCCCGGCGGTGCGACATGCAGCGACTGAAGGACTGGAGGGTTGAAAGGGGAAGAGAGAGAGGGGTAGCAAAGATGGGAAGGGGAGAGGCTGCTTTGTTATTAGTAACAGCTGCTGCCTCAGCAGGTGCAGCAGCAGCTGGGGCAGGTCCCAGCGGCGCGACATGTAACAATTGAAGGACTGGAAGAGGGATATGGAGGGATACGGAGGGATACGGAGGGATACGGAGGGATACGGAGGGATACGGAGGGATACGGAGGGATACGGAGGGATAGGAAGGAGAAAGTTATGTGTAGGCGTGACTGGCAGCTGCTGCCTGAGCAGGTGCAGCAGCAGTGGGTGCAGGTCTCTCCGATGCGACATGTAGCGACTGAAGGGCTGCCATTGCAGGTCCAATCCAAGCCATAATTCCTACATTCTCAAGCGCCCACGGCACGCCGTACTTCTGTGTGCCAATGAACGACTCCAGCAGCACACATGCAAGCAGCCACCAGGCTCAGCGCATCCCCCCAACCCAGTGCGTACACCTCCCCCCGTTCTGCCTCCATGCTACCTTACATTCTCGAAAGCCCGCTGCACGCCGTACTTCTGTGTGCCAATGCACGACTTGAGCAGCATGCAGATGGGGGTGTCCATGTCATCATCGGTCCCAACCAAGACCCACTTCCCTGTCAGTTCCCCATGCTGGCCCCACACATCCAACCCCATTTCCTACCTTCCCATGCACCCTTACCTTCTCCAATGCCCGCTGCACGCCGCATTTCTGGGTCCCAATGAACGACTCCAACAAGACGCGGATGGCTGTGTCCACGTCATCGTCCGTGACAAACTAAGACCCACTTCCCTGTCACTACCCCACGCCACCCCCACACATCCAGCACCAGCAGCACGCGGATAGCGGTGTCCACGTCATCGTCCGTGACCAACTAAGACCCACTTCCCTTCCCTCTCAGTTCCATGCCCCATGCTGCCTTACCTTTTCAAGTGCCCGCTGCACGCCGTACTTCTGAGTCCCGATGAACGACTCTAACAGCACGCGGATGGCGGTGTCCACGTCATCGTCGGTCACGAACTGCCGCAGATGCATCCGCGCGTGCGCCTCTGACATGCGGATCATCGACTCCACGTGGCGCACCGCTATTGGCACGCCCTGCCCTTGCTGGTGGTTGGGAATAACAGGAGGGAATGGGGGGAGGTAGACACAGTAGGCGATGGGATGTGGAAGCAGGTGATATGCATCAGCGCACGTGCCTCATTCGCACGTTCCAGTAAGGGAGAGGGGGAGGGGGAGGCTGGAAAGGGTAAGACGGAGGGAAATGACATGGGATCGGAGCAACGCAGATGCATCCTGGCGTGCGCCTCTGACATGCGGATCATGGAGGTGACTGTTGAGTCGACTCAAAAGTCTCTGGCATGCGGATCATCGACTCCACGTGGCGCACCGCTATTGGCACGCCCTGCCCTTGCTGGTGGTTTGCAATATGGGGGGGGGGAATGGGGAGAGGGGAAAGGCGGAAGGAGATGGGATGGGGTCAGCAACGGATATGCATGAGCGCATGTGGCTCATGAGCGCATGTGGCTCATGAGCGCATGTGACTCATGAGCGCATGTGGCTCACCATCACCATCATTCAATCTGCCGGCGCTGGTCGGCACATACGAGTGCGATCTTGTCAGCATCAGCATCGTGCATGCGAGGGAAGACTTTTGGGTGTAGCATGTCTACCTAAGCATGTCTGTATGTATCAATGTGCACAAGCCCTGCTCACCAGTGGTGAGTCACCACCCACCCACCCACCACCCACCAGGGACTGCCGGCGCAGGTCGGCATATACAAGAGCGATCTTGTCAGCGTCAGCATCGTGCATGCGAGGAAAGACGTGCTTTCCGCTAGCTACGAGTGAGCCTTTATTCCCACCACCCAATCAACCACCCATCACCCATCCCCCACCCACCACCCACCAGGGACTGCCGGCGCAGGTCGGCATATACAAGCGCAATCTTGTCGGCATCAGCATCGTGCATGCGAGGGAAGACGTTCTGGCGGGCGTAGGTGACATACTTGCGTAGAATGTCCTGAGGGATGATCTGTGATGCAGGGGGCGAGTGCAGCAACATAAGGAGAGAGGGCAGTGGAGGAAGATGGGCGGCAGCACAGGGAGGGAGAGATGAACGATACTTTCTGTCGGGCGTAGGTGACGTTCTTTCTCAGAAGGTCCCGAGGGATGATCTGGAACACAGGGAGAGAGGGCCGTGGAGGAAGGTGCGCAGGTTGGAAAGGCTACACATGCATGATACGTTCTGGGGAGTGTACATCGGGGTCCTCCTCTCTCGCTTGCCCACCCACCTCATGGCCCTGGACCTGGGCTGGGCCGACACAAGGCTCATCCAGATCACCCTCATGGCCCACCTCATGGTCCTGGACCTGGGCCCGCACAAGGCTCATCCAGATGACCCTCATGGCCCACCTCATGGCCCTGGACCTGGGCCGACACAAGGCTCATCCAGATGACCCTCATGGCCCACCTCATGGCCCTGGACCTGGGCCGACACAAGGCTCATCCAGATGACCCTCATGGCCCACCTCATGGCCCTGGACCTGGGCTGGGCCGACACAAGGCTCATCCAGATGACCCTCATGGCCCACCTCATGGCCCTGGACCTGGGCCCACACAAGGCTCATCCAGCATGACAATACCTAGGATGAGCATGCATACGTACATCCACATCGGGCATACGTTCTGGGGAGTGTACATCGGGGTCCTCTTCTCTGGAAGCCGGCCCATCACTGCCGTGCCCATGCGCCTGCGAGTGTGACTTGGTGGCTGCCCACCACAAAGCTAACTTAAATGGCAACACAACACACCTCTGAATACCTAAGTTGTCACCATGCATACGTACCTCGGGGTCCTCTTCCCTTGCTTGCCCATCCGCCCCATGCCCATAACCCTGAGTGTGCGACTTCTGATGGCTGCCCACCACAAAGCAAATCCAACACGGCACGGCAATACCGGTTACCTCAATGGACTCAGCACATACGTACATCGGGATCCTCCTCTCTTGCTTGCCCATCACTGCCATGCCCATGCGCCTGCGGATGCGACTTCTGATGGCTGCCCACCACAAAGCGCGCCAAGTGCTCATCCACCACTGGGTCCACGAGGTCCTGAAGTGGGGTGCGCAAAATGACAAGAAAAGAGTGGGAAAAGGCGCGTGGGAGGAGGGGGAGGAGGGTGTGACTCTGGCCTAGCCGTTGCCACAAAGCGCGCCAAGTGCTCGTCCACCACTGGATCCACCAGGTCCTCAAGTTTCACACGGAGATGAGTGGGAGGAAGGCGTTAGGAGGGGAGGGGGGGTGGGCGTTGTGCCATCCCCACCACAACGCATCACAGCAAAGCGCGCAAGGTGCTCGTCCACCACTGGGTCCACCAGGTGGCCGAGTGATCTGCACTCATTCCTTCTGTTATGATGCCTTGTGCAGTGATACCACACGTCAAGGGCGCACTTTGAAAACGATAAGCAACACACATCATACATGCACCTTGGTAGGTAACACACATCACAGACGCACCTTGATGACCAGAAGGCAGTCGAAGCGAGAGAGGATGGGCTCTGAGAGCTCCACATTCTGGCCGAATGTCTTGCTGGAGTCGTACCTGGGAGAGGAGAGGGAAAGGAGATGATAGCACGTGAGGGGGTTGCATGTGAGAGGGGGTATTGAGTCAACTTATATAGAGGATGGGCTCTGAGAGCACCACGTCCTGCCCGAACGTCTTGCTCGAGTCGTACCTGGGGGAGGGCACGTGGAGTGGGGTGGTGCATGTTGGGGGGCGCATGTGAGAGGGGGTTGAGTGGTCTCATTAAGAGGATGGGCTTTGAGAGCTCCACGTTCTGCCCAAACTTCTCGCTCGAGTCGTACCTGCCATGAGGGCATGGCGACATGGGAAGGAGATAGCAAGGGGAGGGGGGTGCATGTTGGGGGGCGTATGTGATAGGGTGTTTTGAGTCGACTCATAAAGAGGATGGGCTCTGAGAGCTCCACGTTCTGCCCAAACGTCTTGCTGGAGTCGTACCTGTGGAAGGAGAGGGCGAGGTGAGGAAACATGGAGGAGGTGGCATATGAGGCGGGACAGGTCATGCAAGGGGGCCACGACGCATGTGAGGGACGCATGTGAGAGGGCATGCGGAGGGGCTGATGCTGATGCTGATGTTGATGCTGATGCTGATGCTGATGCTGATATGATGCTGATATGATGCGGATATGATGCTGATGCTGATGCTGATGCTGATGCTGATGCTGATATGATGCTGATGCTGATGCTGATGCTGATGCTGATGCTGATATGATGCTGATGCTGATGCTGATGCTGATGCTGATATGATGTTGATGATGATGCTGACGCTGATGCTGATGCTGAAGCTGATGCTGATTCTGATGCTGATGCTGATGCTGATGCTGATGCTGATGCTGATGCTGATGCAGGGCAATGGCAGTCAAAGGGACGCATCATGCAAATGCCCCACTCACTCACCGGCCACCGATGGGGTTGGCAGCGGCAATGACGGAGCATCTGGCAGCAAGGGACGTGACAATGCCCGCCTTGCTGATGCTGATGCTCTGCTGCTCCATGGCCTCATGGATGGACACCCTGCGCATGGGGTGTAAGGGGCAAGGTGTGAGGACAGGGGTGTGATGCAGATTGGGAGCGGTAAATTGCAAGTGGAACATCAGAAACCTTGCCCCACACATCTCCCTACCCCACATTCCCCCCTGCCCCAGCTGCACCTGTCCTGTTCGCTCATATTGTCTAACTCATCAATCAGACACGTGCCCCGATCCTCCAGCACCAGCGCCCCTTTCAATCCATCCCCAAACCCCTCCAGTCCTCCCTCTCCCAGTCACACCTGCCCAAACCCCTCCAGTCCTCCCTCTCCCAGTCACACCTGCCCAAACCCCACCTGTCCTGTTCGCTCATCTTGTCGAACTCATCAATCAAACAAGTGCCCCTATCCGCCAGCACCAGCGCCCCCCCCTCCAGCGTCCACTCGCGGGTGACGGGGTCCTTGTGCACGGCTGCTGTGAGGCCCACCGCTGATGCCCCTTTTCCTGTTGTATAGACCGCCCTGTTGGCTGTCTTCTCCAGGTACCTGGTGGGAGGTACACGCACAAGGACAAGCACCAGGCATGAGAGGTGGGGTCCTTGTGCACGGCTGCTGTCAGCCCCACTGCTGATGCGCCCTTGCCCGTTGTGTACACCGCACGGTGGGCTGTCTTTTCCAGGTAGCTGACGGGAGGAGGTGGAGTGGTACAAGCACAAGCACAGGAAGGGTGAGAGGCCTGAATGGGGTCCTTGTGCACGGCGGCTGTGAGCCCCACAGCCGATGCACCCTTGCCCAATGTGTACGCTGCCCCATTCCCTTAGTCTCATATTCCCCCACTCACTCACTCACTTGTCTCCCAATGGTCACTCACTTGAGGAACTGAGACTTGGCCGTGCCCGGATCCCCCAGCAGCAGAGCGTTAATGTCGCCTCTCAGCCGGTGCTTGCCCCCCGCATTCTTCTCCTGCCCCCCGAACATGGCCAGGGCTAACGAGGTCTTCACATTCTCGTGGCCGTAGATGGAAGGGGCGATGGACTTGATGATCTGGAGGGCAGGGAATGAGGAGGCGCGGGAGAGGCAGGGAGTAATCAGTGGGAGGGAGGCGTCTTCTCCTGCCCCCCGAACATGGCCAGTGCCAACGAAGTCTTCACGTTCTCGTGGCCGTAGATGGAAGGGGCGATGGACTTGATGATCTGCAGGATGGGGAAGAGGGGAAGGGCCGGAGGAAAAGGGGGAACACTGTCGAGAACACAGGGAAGCCTTGTTGCTGCTGCATTTTCAGAGATGCCTTTCACCCTCCTCACACCCTCACACCCTCATACTCACACACCCTCATACAATACCCTCTCAGCTCACCCTCTCAGTGATCCTGGGGTCTCGGGACAGGCGCATGATCTCCTCCTTGTCTTCATCTGTCAGCCGGTACGCAGCAAAGGCGTCCTGCCGCTTGCTCATGTGGCTCGCCTCTATCACCCTCACCTCACATCCTCACACAATGCTCTCCCAGCTCACCCTCCCAGCTCACCCCCCCACCTCACCCTGCGTGGGTCCCTGGAAAGCCGCATGATCTCCTCTTGGCCCTCATCCGTGAGCCGGTACACAGCAAAGGCGTCCTGCCTTCAACCCTCACATCCTCACACTCACACACCCTCATACCATAACCTCCCAAGTCAGCTCACCCTTTCAGCAATGCGTGGGTCTCTCGACAGGCGCATGATCTCCTCTTTGTCTTCATCTGTCAGCCGGTACGCAGCGAAGACGTCCTGCCGCTTGCTGATGTGGTTCGCCTCTATCACCGTCGAGAAGACAGGGAAGCCCTGGCGCGTGTTCAGTGCCGCATCAAAGTTGTTCACATAAATCCCCGTCACTTCCTGGTAGGGAGAGAGGAGGGAGAGAAGAGGGAGGGGAAGCGGAATGAATGCACGGATCGCTGCGATCACTGTAAAGAAATGAGAGGTCTGCGCGCAGTCGATCAAGTCGTTCAGCAGCACCACCTCCTTGTAGCGTGGCATGTTGCAAGGAGGGGGCACCCAGCACCCACACTAACCAACTCGTAATCAAAGCCACCTCTTATGCCACCTGCACTCACAATCTCTTCTCCTGGGCGTGCGCAGTCGATCAAGTCGTTCAGCAGCACCACCTCCTTGTAGCGCGGCAGCCGCCCCGCCGGCACAGAACCAGGGCTCTCCTGCAGTGTCATCTTCTGATAGTTGCGGTAGATGGTCTGATGGGACGAGGGGTGCAGGGTGGGGGAGTAAGGGAGGGGATGAATGCACCACCTCCTTGTAGGAGGGGCGGTCAGGGAGGGGACAGTAAGGGAGAGGATTGATGCACCACCTCCTTGTAGTGGGGCAGCTGCCCCGCCGGCACACTGCCATCATCTTCTGGTAGTTGCGGTAGACGGTCTGCACTGTGGGGATGGGGCGAGAAGTGAAAGGGGAGAAATAGGGAGAGAATCATGTACCACTGACACGTTGCAACGAACTCCAGCACCTGCTCCCCTTTCCCCTCTCCACGTGACCTGGAAGGGGAGGGCACTCAGCCCTTAAGCCTCTTGGCTACTCCCACCCCTTCGCCCCTCCCCCTGAACCCCTCTTTGTTCCTCACCTGCTCCACGTTGACCTGGAACAGCCCCTTGGACTCGCACTCAGCGCACGTGCACAGCCCCACCAGCACACCTACCCTCCCTACCAGCACTTCCCTTCCCCCCCGCATGCCCCCTTCAACCCCTTCTTTCCTCACCTGCTCCACGTTGACCTGGAAAGGCCCCTTGGACTGGCACTCAGCGCACGTGAGGGGTCCTGAAAGCAGGGTTAAGCATGCCAACCCCCATCCCTTCACCCCCCTCTGCCCTTCTTCCTCCTCACCTGCTCCACGTTGACTTGGAACGGCCCCTTGGACTGGCACTCAGCGCACGTGCGGATGCGGATCTCAGAGGAGGACGTCTGGAAGAAGGGACCCAGGATGGCGCCGCACTTGATGCAGTTATACTTCACCTGCCGGGGTGCAGTGCGGTGGCGTGTGGTGCAGAGAGTGGCATTCAAGTACATGAGAAGATTAGATACAGAGACACATGCACTTAACATGGAGCAACAGGGAGAGAAAGATGGAGCAGTGGCGACAGATAATCCGACAAGGGAGAGGGGGTTGACCGTTGGCAAACGGTGAAGAGCGGGAGAGCAGGTGTGCGGAGTGACTTGAAACGACTGACCTGCTGCAGCTGGGGGAACACCCCTGTCCTTCGAGTGACAACACCCCCCACGCGGATGAGACAGTTGAGATGCGTCTGCCTGCCATGCACACATAGAGCAAGCAAGGATTGTGTGGTGGAGGGGTTAGTACGATTTACAGGTTAAAAAAAAGCCAGAATGTTGCTTATAGGATTGGTGATGCTGGTTGGAGTGAAAGTACGGCTGAAGGAAGGATGACTCGTGCTACTCCCTCTGTTGCAATCACCTGACGTCCCTAACTCCCCTCTGATGCGCTCGTGCACCTGCTCCTGACACCCCCAGGTCGCTCTTTTGGATTCACCTGATGTCGCGGATTTGGTCGATAACTGGCAGTCCAGCAACACGCACGTAGATGCGTTCATGCACCTGCTCTGTTGCAACCCCCAGCTCGCTCTGTTGCAACCCCCAGCTCGCTCTGTTGTTTTCACCTAATGTCGCGGATCTGGTCGATGACTGGCAGTCCCGCCACACGCACGTAGATGCGTTCATGCACCTGCTCGTACATGGGGAAGGCGCGGAACACCTCCGCCTGCGCCACTTCATCTAGCACCTCCAATACCTGGAGGTGGGAGGGAGGAAATCGGGGAAGGAAGACAAAGAAAGGGGAATGTGTCCATGCAACTGCTCCGCCCTGCTCTGCTTGTGCATGGGGAAGGCGCGGAACACCTCTGTCTGTGCCACCTTGTCCGGCACCTTGAGCACCTGGTGGTGGAAGCGAGGGCGGGTGGAGGAAGTGATAAAAAAAACCAGCCTTATCCCCCTGCCCCTGCCCCTGCTCTGCCCTGCCCCTGCTCTGCCCTGCCCTGCCCTGCCCTGCTCTGCTTGAACATGGGGAAGGCGCGGAACACCTCCGCCTGCGCCACCTCGTCCAGAACCTCCAATGCCTGGTGGTGGGAGGGAGAGAGGTGAGAGGGGGACAAGGAAAGGAGAACGGACTCATGCCCCTGCCACCTGCCCTTTTCTTCTCTGCTCTGCTCATACATGGGGAAGGCGCGGAACACCTCCGCTTGGGCCACTTCATCTAATACTTCCAACACCTGATGGTGGGGGGAAAGGAGACAAGGGAGAGATAGGGAAAGACCTCATGCATCCGTTCACTCTCCTCTGCTCTGCCCTGCCCTGCTCGTACATGGGGAAGGCGCGGAACACTCCTGCCTGTGCCCACTCGTCGAGCACCTCAAGCCCCTGATGGTGACATGAAGGAGAGGAAGAGGTGGGGAACCTGCTGGAGTTAATTCCCAGATTTGCAAGGCCATGCCATGAGGTAACTCTGCATGCCTAACCCCACACGCTCACCTGCTTGGGCGCGTCGGCGAGCCACACGGCAAGGATGGGGTGGGTGGTGAGGAGGTGCGAGTAGTCCAGCTCCAATGAACAGCTGTTCACTGCTTGGCACACATAACATCCATGCACATGCACGCACGCATGCACACACCATGCACACACCATGCACACACCATGCAAACGTGCACATATACAAACGCATGCGTCGACACACACAAAACAGTACATGCAGGAAAGGAAATTCACAATAAGAACGAGAACGAAAGACCATTGGGGCGCGAACCAGCTCCCTCCATCCCACACTCTCACGCCCTTCTCCCCCCCTCGTTCACACTCCCCCACATCACTCACTCACTCAATCTCCTCCTCCCCCCTCCCCCCCCCCCCCCCGCCCTCACGCACTCTCCACCAGCTCGCGAATGCGAATGGCATAGTCGGCATCGCTGTCCCCGCGGTGCCACCACACACATTCCCCCCTTCATTCATCCACCCCCCCTTCCACCTTTCCCTCCCCCCCCCAACGCACTTTCCACCAGCTCGCGAATGCGAATGGCATAGTCGGCATCGCTGTCCCCGCGATGCCGCCCTCTGCTGTCCTTGAACGTCTGCAGGAAGTGCCGGAAGCGCCGCGCCATGAACCGCCGCACCTCGTCCCGGGATACCCACTCCCTCAGGCTGCCCTGTTGTGGGAGAATCAGGGAAAAGGGGGACAGGGGGACAGTATGCAGAGGAAGAAGGTGAGTGTACAGGTTGCTAGGTGGAGCGTGCGGGGCATGAACCGCCGCACCTCGTCCCGGGAGACCCACCCCTTGTAACCTGACAGTTAAGGGAGTGGGAGACGTGCACACATACACACATGTGCTCTGAACCACGAGTCAAGTGGGGCGCTTCACATCACATGTGGACGGTGCAGCCACCAGCGTGTGCGTGGAGCGAGCTTGGAGTGAGTGCTCTTAACAAGTTCTTGTTGCAATCAATCACGTGACTGCTTTGAAAACCTCACTGTTGCAATCATTTGATTGCACACACCGGACAAATCGTCTGAAAGTAAAATCACCTGACACCTGAACGTTGGAATCACCTGATTGTTAAATTTACCTGAGTGTTGGAATCACCTGATTGTTAAATTTACCTGAGTGTTGGAATCACCTGATTGTTAAATTTACCTGAGTGTTGGAATCACCTGCATGTTGTAGAGCGAGTCATCGTTGATATCATCCTCCTCCTCCCCCTCCTCCTCCTCCCCTCCCCCTGTGCCCTCTGTAGCAAAGCTCCCCTGCAAGAATGGAGAAGGGAGAGGAAGGTCATAACCCGGTGCACAGTCACGAGGAGAAAGAGGAGACCGACGGCTCAAGAAAAGAGGAGAAACAGACGGCTTTTGATGCGTCACGAAACACGGCAACGGCGGGAAGGGAGGAGGAGAGGAATGGCGTGACAGCAGCCGTCTGTAGAAATGTTGTGATGTGATAGACACAGTGACAACAGGACAAGTGCACTTGACTGTGGATCCAGCTTTGACAACTGCTGGTTATGAACTTCAGAAGTGGTCAATTGACCAGAGCACGTCTCTCTCTTTCTCTCACGCTCACCCCCACGGCAGCATCAGCAGAGTCGGTGCGTCGCCGGCGCTGCCCCCTGCGAGTGAAGAGGCCACTGTCATCGTCGTCTGGGGCATGGGGAGCAGGGATGACGGAGAAGGAAAAGGGGACACAGAACGCAGGAAGGAGAGGGGCTCACAGGAAGAAGTGGTAAAAGAGAAGGAGCAGGGTAACGGCTAAAGGAAGCGGGGGCAGGAGCATAGGCGAAGGGAGAGAATAAGGCAGGGCGAGTGGTGGGGCAGGGAGGAAAGACTCCTACTCCCAACCCCTCCGCTGCCTCACCTTGGTCCCTCAGGATAGATGGCAGTCGGTTCCCCCCATCATCTCCCGCAGCGCCCCTCCTGCCGGCGTCTCTGCGCGCCATTTCTCGCTCCGCCGCCCGCCTGTCTGCCGCCCGCTGCCCGCTGCTCCTGGTGTCGCCCTCACTGTCCGCCAGGTGCTCCCTCTCGTACTCGTCCAGATGCGGCATGGGGCGGTAGTCACTGCAATGGGAGGGCCAAGGCACAGTGTGCAGGGTGAGTGCATGGAGGGAGAGGTGCTCCTCTCTGCTGCCCGCTGCTCCTGGTGTCGCCCTCGCTGTCCGCCAGGTGCTCCCTCTCATACTCGTCCAGATGTGGCATGGGCCGGTAGTCGCTGTGAGGAAGGGGAGAGGAGAGGGGCGAGAGGCAGAGAGAAAGGGGTACAGCACATCATGGCCCACTGCGCTGCTCCTGGTGTCGCCCTCACTATCCGCCAGGTGCTCCCTCTCATACTCGTCCAGATGTGGCATGGGGCGGTAGTCGCTGTGTAGAGACACGAGGTTGGTTACCACACACAGTGAGGTGCTCCCCTCTCGCCTGCTGCTCCTGGTGTCGCCCTCACTGTCCGCCAGGTGCTCCCTCTCGTACTCGTCCAGGTGTGGCATGGGGCGGTAGTAGCTGGGAGGAGGGAGAGGGCACGGCACACAGAGACGTGAGGGGGTTACCACACAGAGCAACGAAGTGCTCCTCTCACTGTCCGCCAGGTGCTCCCTCTCGTACTCGTCCAGATGCGGCATGGGGCAGTAATCGCTGCGTGGAGGGGAGAGTTGAGGGGTGAAGGGAAGGGTTTACAGCATACACCCCCTGCCCCTAGCGTTGGGGTGTTGTTGCTGCAAAAAGATAAGGCACAGCACCAGGACATGAAAGGGGAGCATTGGTTGGGTGGTGTGAAGGCAACACACCGTGTGGGTGGATCCCACTCGCCCCATGCAGGGAGGCAACCCACTCAGGTGAGCACTCCTTCCTTTCCCGTTTGACAAATCAAGCAAGGAGTGCCGTGGGTGAGCACCACATGCCATCCCGTTTCTCGCCCACAGCAGCCATTCTGCCAGCCCACTCACTCCAGGAAGTCATCCCTCAGCACATCCTCTCCCTCCTCTCCCTCCTCCTCGCCCGCTCGACCGCTCGGTGTATTTGAGAACTCTCGAAAACGCCCTCCCACTCACTCAAAAAAGCCAGCACACTCACTCCAGGAAATCGTCCCTCAGAAGATCCTCGCCCTCCTCTTCTTCCTCGTCGCCCGCTCGCCCCGCCACCCCGTCCGCTTCGCCGCCCTCGCTGCCGTTCTCGAACAGCATCGGATCCACCTCAGCCTCCTCCGCTTCCCGCCCTGCCAGAGGCTCACAGCGGAAGGGGGAAAGTATCACAGGGTAAGGGGAAAGGGGGTCGCGGAATGACCCAACCGCGCCCTCGCTGCCGTTCTCAAACAGTATCGGATCCACCTCCGCCTCCTCCGCCTCCCGCCCTGCCACAGGGTCACGGCGGAACAGCATCGGGTCCACAGAATTACAAAGTAAGGGGGAAGGGGGTCCGCAACAGAACAATGACCCAACCGCGCCCTCGCTGCCGTTGTCGGATCCACCTCCACACTCCGCCTCCCGACCTGCCACAGGGTTGCGGCGAAAGGGGGAAGGGTCGCGGCGGAAGGGGGAATGAGGGTGCGGAAAAGTGAAATGACCCAACAGCGACCTCACTCGGGCGGTCATACTGAACGGATCCGACCCCTTCCGCCTCTCAATCTTGACCTGAGCGAAGCAGATAGGTGATCGGGGAAAGCGGGCAGAGAAAACACAGATTTCGGCAAGAGAAGGCGAAGTGAGGCGGCGGGGTGGCATGAGAAAGAGAGAAAGACAGCGGAAATCGACTGTGAAACAGCGGTAGAGTGAATGGTTTACGCGCACCTGCGGAGTCGCGGTCGAAATCGTCCATCTGATCGTCATCATCTCGACCGCTCGCCGTGTATGCATCCGACGGCCCAGATCGCCCCGATTGTCTGTCCGAATCCTGCACGCGCGCACCACGCGAAGGATGCACAACAACCACACAAGACGCGTCAGAATGGGCGCATTGCTTCGCATCGGACTCGTGCAGATTCAGACGGGCATGGCTTGCAGCAACAACGGGAGGTAAGGACAGCGTTTTACCATATGTGCTCGGGGTGTGGCCTCGCACTAGGAACTCAGAATCTGAGCTTAGAAAGGAAACTTATATATATAGTTTTATGAGACAACATTGCAGCTCTCATAGCTCAGTTGGTTAGAACACCCATTTAGTAAGCGGGAGGTCTTGAGTTCAACTCTCAAGGAGAGCACCTAAAAATCCAATTTTCTGGAGGAACATTTTTTGTTTTCGCTGGCTCGATGTGCACACTCCCAACCCAAGGCCTTCTGGTTTCTTCATTTGTACTTCATTAGCATCTACAACCAGACTTCCCAGTCTCTTTCCCCGCCCCGCCTTCTCAGGTGCCGATCGCATCACCATAGTGTCCGTAGCTTCTTCTTGGGGTATGTGAGGGGGGCACGGAGGGAGGGGCATGGGGGGAGGGTGATGGGGTGTTGCAATCACAGAAGGGGAAGAAAGCTCGCGCCAACATATGGCCCATCTTCAGGTAGCGGTCAGGTTGGTCCTAGGGGGAGAGGGGGGGGGAGGCGCGCAAGGGGGAACAAAACGGAGGAGTCACAGGGGGGAATTACCCTTGTGCCAGCAGATGGTCTAACTTCAGGTAGCGATCGTGTTGGTACTGGGGGCAGGACGAGAGGAGGAAGGGAGCAACGGGGAAGGACCATGGGAGGGCCATGGGGACTGTGTGTGATTGAAGCCAGACAGGGATGTACGCTGGCGCCAACATTTGGTCCAGCTTCAGGTAGCGCAAACACGGGGGAACGGAGAGTCACACGGGAAGGCCATGGGGGAAGGCCATGGAGGAAGGCCATGGGGGAAGGCCATGGGGGATTGCTGTCACACAGGGGGGAGTACGCCTGTGCCAGCAAAATTCTCCAGCTTCAAGAAGCAGTTGGGTTGGTCCTGGGGGATGTAAGAAGGCGGGAGAGGGATGGGGAACAGTGGGGGGAAGGGGAAAGAGAAAGGGAGAGGGGGGGGGGACAGTGGGAGGGTGGCACCTGACGCTCATTATGCCACATAGACACACCTGGTTCATCGTGGGCATGGTGCATATCTGTATGGCACATACCAGCACACAACACTCGCACAAACACACCCATCTGGCGTAGACATGAGCAGAAAATCGAACCGCGGTCGGTTGGACCGAACAATCGCGCATGATATCCCGCCAGATCGCATGGAGAGCATGGTACGGTGGGCGCTTGCTTGAGGACGGACTTGACCGTCTCTGTCTCCCTCAACTCTACCAACTGCAAAATGATTTGCCGGGAAGGGGGTTATGAGCCATGTGGAGAGCGGTGTAGTGCGGTGGGACAAGGTGGGGAATGGACGGCGTCTGTCAATCATGGACTTGGCCGTCTCTGTCTCCCTCAGCTCCGCCAGCTCCAGAATGATCTGCATGAGGCAAGTGGATTGCGGTGCAGTGCGATGGAGAGAAGTAGGACAAGGTGGGGAATGGTATCCAAGTATACAAATATCCAAGTATCCAAGTAATCAAGTATCTACGTATGCAAGTATTCAAATATCCAAATATCCAAATATTCAAGTATCGAACAATACTGTCAGAATGTTATAATTGTCTAGCCTGCAGTGGGGTACTCTATAGTGAGTACAGCCCAATTAGGGTTTGCTATATGTATCCAACTGCTTGCTAGTGAACATCCTCCTTTCTTCATTCTTACTTTCTACTGCTAGTTCTGACATGCTATCAGAGCAGGTCGACCCTCCTGGGTCGATCCTGTGGGTGGGCCCACCACCTCACTGCTTCCGCTGCTACTGCTACTCTGTGTGTTGCACGCCCCGTGGCGTGCGACGGATTTTTCATCCCGCCGCGCGCTCGGAGCGTGCGGCGGTTTTCTGCCCGCCGTGCGCCCCGAGGCGCGCGGCGGTTTTCTGCCCGCCGTGCGCCCCGAGGCGCGCGGCGGTTTTCTGCCCGCCATGCGCCCCGAGGCGCGCGGCGGCTTTCTGCCCCGTCACTCCGCGCGTCGCTCCCGGGAGGCGCTGCGACGGGCGACGGGGACCCGCGTCGCCCCCCGTCGCCCGTCGCGGCCTGCGCGACCTGCGTAGGGCCCGCGCGCGGCCCGTACAGCCTGCGCACGGCCCGTACGGGCAGCGCCAGGCCCGCGCGCGGCCCGTACGGGCTGCGCCAGGCCAGGGCGCGCCTCGGGCCGCCCGCACGCGGTTCGTACGGGCTGCGCCAGGCCCGTGGGCGCCCTGTTTCCTCTTCCCCTGCGCTGCCCGCTGTCCCCCGTGCTTCTGACGGCGCCCCACCCCTGCTGCTGCCCGTTCTCCTGAATTAGGGTTTGGGGTGGGGGGTATGGGGGTGCAGTTTCTGTGTGCCGTCCCCTGCTCCTCCTCCTTCTCCGTCTCCCAGTGCTGCAGCTGCCGCTGAGGGGGGTGGGTGTGTGGGAGCAGAAGGAGTGGTACTAGGGGGGTGACGTGCAAGTGGAGTTAGGAGTGAAGCAGTGGGTGTGTGGGGGTGTGTGGGACAGTTGGAGGAGGTTGAGCGGAGGCTGCTGTCTTGTCGTCCGCAGCACCTGTAGTCCGGGGCGCACTGTCCTGGTAGCCCAGAGAGTCTGCTGCGCCTGTCGCCCGAGGGTCCGTTGCTCCTGTAGCTCCTCGTAGCCCGTAAGCCAGTTACTCCAGTAGTCCGGGGCGCACTGTCCCGGTAGCCACTGTGCCAGCAGCTCCTGTTGCCCGTGTGTCTGCAGCTTCAGCCGCCGTCTCTCATCTTCTCTCCTCTCACAGTCCCTCCTCCTCCTCACTTGCCCGCTGTGACTACCACTAGCTTTGCTTATAATTGTGAACCATTACTATGCTTGCTTGTTGTGCTGATTACACCCCACTTTGGCTATGGGGGTGTGTCAGAATGTTATAATTGTCTAGCCTGCAGTGGGGTACTCTATAGTGAGTACAGCCCAATTAGGGTTTGCTATATGTATCCAACTGCTTGCTAGTGAACATCCTCCTTTCTTCATTCTTACTTTCTACTGCTAGTTCTGACAAATACAACTATCCAAGTCGACCGATGGACGAAGACGCGCACGCCTTGGAGATCAGCGTTGCAGACCCCTTTTGCTCTCTCCATGTTTGATCGGGCAGTGCAGGCGGTCTATGGGTGTTGCGGCCAAGGAATGGGAGCGACGAAAGGCGAACGATTACGATTGCGCTGTTGCTAGCGAGCAATCGGGGGGTGCAGTTCACGCCTTTGATTGTTGAGACATGGGGGTGATTGGGTGGACGTTTCAGGCATTGGTTGAGTCAGCAGAGGGACGAGCACTTTCGGTTAGCTGTGTCGCGAGGGGCCTGTCGGGAAGATGACATGTCGTTTTTGTCATAACTCTAGGGGTATTTGAAGGCACACATTGGGGTGGTATTACAACGGGCGCAGACTTGAGTTATCTTGTTGCGAGTTGCGTCGTCCATGGGGTACGTGGACGATGACTTCGTAGATAGGAGATGGCAAGTGGGAGATGGGAATCGGGAGATGAGAGATGGGAGATGGAAAGTGGGACATGGGAGATGGAAGATGGGAGATGGGAGATGGAATGTGGGGGACGGGAGATGGGAGATGGAATATGGAAGATGGAAAGTGGGAGATGGGTGATGGGAGATGGGAGATGGGAGATGGGAGATGGAAAGTGGGTAATGAGAGATGGAAGATGGGAGATGGGAGATGGGAGATGGAAGATGGGAGGTGGAAAGTGGGAGATGGGTGATGTGAGATGGGAGATGGGAGATGGGAGATGGGAGATGGGAGATGTGAGATGAGAGATGAGAGATGGGGAGATGGGGAGATGGAAAGTGGGAGATGGGAGATGGAAAGTAGGAGATGTGAGATGGAAAATGGGAGATGGGAGATGGGAGATAGGAGATGGAAAGTGGCAGATGGGAGATGGGAGATGGAAAGTGGGAGATGGGAGATGGGAGATGGGAGATGGAAAGTGGGAGATGGGAGATGGGAGATGGAAAGTGGGAGATGAGAGATTGGAGATGGAAAGTGGGAGATGGGAGATGGGAGATGGAAAGTGGGATTTGGGAGATGGGAGATGGAAAGTGGGAGATGGGAGATGGGAGATGGGGGATGGAAAGTGGGAGATGGGAGATGGGAGTTGGGAGATGGAAAGTGGGAGATGGGAAATGGAAGATGGGAGATGCGAGATGGAACGTGGGAGATGGAAAATGGGAGATGGGAGATGGAAAGTGGGAGATGGGAGATGGGAGATGGAAAGTGGGAGATGAGAGATGGAAGATGGAAAGTGGGAGACGGAAAGTGGGAGATGGGAGATGGAAAGTGGGAGATGAGAGATGGGAGATGGAAAGTGGGAGATGGGAGATGGGAGATGGGAGATAAGAGATGGAAACTGTGAGATGGAAGATGGGAGATGAGAGATGGGAAATGGAAAGTTTGAGATGAGAGATGGGAGATGGGAGATGGGAGATGGGAGATGTCAGATGGAAAGTGGGAGATGGGACATGGGAGATGGGACATGGAAGATGGAAAGTGGGAGATGGGAATTGGGAGAAGGGAGATGGGAGATGGAAAGTGGGAGGTGGGAGATGGAAGATGGTAGATGGGAGATAGAAAGTGGGAGATGGGAGATGGAAGAAGGAAAGTGGGAGATGGGAGATGGGAGAAGGGAGATGGAAGATGGGAGATGGGAGATGGAAAGTGGGAAATGGGAACTGGAAGATGGGAGATGGGGGATGAAAAGCGGGAGATGGGAGACGGGTTCGAGACAGAGCGAGTGCGGGAGTGCGCGAGTGCGCGACAGCGCGAGTGAGCGAGTGCGCGGCAGCGCGAGCGC